AGTCCTGGTAAGAGAATCATTATGAAGACATTAGAGTTCTGGAACAATGTTACACCATCTGTGGCAGACACCATTCAAAATATAGCTCCTGATGTGCTACTAAGCCAGGGTAGAGACAGAACACCTGATCTCGGGACATCCAGTGACTGTGCAGCCAGAACTGTTTGTTACAAGGTGTGTTCTGTCAGATCTACTAAGTCATAAGGTCATGTGAGCCCAACAAAAGTCCATAGTGAGATGGAAGTGGTACATCAAAGACAATGTGCATGTGTAGATGGCTTACATTCTGTTTCAACCATCACTAGGGCACCATTGCCTGCCTCTCAGCTTACATTCATGGTTTCTTTTTGGGGAGTATGGTGGTGGACAGGCAAGTTCCCTTATGATCAACTCATGGAAAAGAAAAAAAAACCTGTCCTGATACATAAATGGATTAGCTTGGTATGTGGTGAAGCCAGGAATGAACCACTGTATTATAATCCCCATCCAAAGATGGCCTTAATGGGAAGAGCTTTGGGGGTACATCTGGTCATCTATATTGTGTGGAAAGAAAAGTAGCCTGAAATAAAAATGTAAGACTCATGCAATGAATAACACAGCTGCTTAGTCAGAGGTTTAGAAAGAGAAAGATTCAAAAATTGGGAACGAGCATGCCTAGGGAAGAGGCACGTGGATAGACCAGCTACTGGAAGAATTGCAGAAATCCTATTCAGAATATATTAAAAACCCTTCACATCTTCATTTTAAAGAATGAGACAACCCAGTTTAAAAATGGGCAAAAGGCCTGAATAGACACTTTATCAAAGAAGATGTATGGACGGCAAATATGCACATGAAAAGATGTTCAACATCGTCAGTCACAGAGAAATTCAAATTAAAACCAAACTGAAACACTGTTTCACAGTTAGGAGAAGAGCTGAAGTTAAAAAGACAGAACACATTGTACACCTCAAATTAATACATTATAATATGTCAATTGCATCTCAATTTTAAAAGTTTTTAAAAGACTGAACACATCCAAGTATTGGTGAAGATATAGAGGGACTGGAACACTTACACTTCTGGTGAAATACTTTAAAATACTTTAAAAAATACTTTAAAATACTTTTTAAAAATTTATTTATTCACTTTAGAGAGAGAGAGTAGGGAGAGGCAGAGGGAGAGGGAGATAGAAATTTTAGCAGACTCCTTGCTGAGCTCAGAGCCTGATGAGAAGTTTGATCTCACAACCCTGGATCATGACTTGAACTAAAACCAAGAGTTGGAAGCTCAATTGACTGTGCCATCCAGGGGCCCCCAAAATGTAAAATACTTTGGAAGACAGTTTGGCTGTACCTTTAAAAGTTAAATATACACTTACTATATATGATCCAGCCATTTCATCTTTATTTACCCAAGAGAAAAGGAAGCATATGTTTACATAAAGACATACACACATATGCACCTACACAAAGACCCACATATGTGAAGTATTCACAGAAGCTCTATTTGTATAATCCCAAACTGCAAACAACCAAAAAATCCATCAATAGGTAAACAAATTTTGGTCTATCAGTACAATAGAATACTACTCAGCAGTGAAAATAAATGACCTCTAGAGTCACACAACAACATGTATGAATCCAAATTAATTATGCTGAGTGAAAGTAGCTAGACCAAAAAAGAAAACTTACTGTAATGACTCTATTTATCTAGTATTCTAGAAAATACAAATTAATCTATAGGGACAGAAAGAGATTAGTGGTGGCTTTGTGATAAGGTGGTAGGTTGGAGGGAAGGAGGAGGAATTACAAAGGGGCATAAGGAATCTTTTGGGAATATGCTCATTAACTTACCAAATTGTACATTTTAAATATGCGATTTACTGTATACCGTTATACTTCAGTTAAGCTTTTAAAAGAGAAAAAAGATTAAATCTCATGCCAGTTATGTCTAGTACCTGATCCTTGGAATCAAAAGCCATAATCTTGAAATGCTCTTCCCATTAACTTACAAGGCAGTGACCTGAGGCAAGCCAGGGAGCTGACATTATCTAGAGGTCAGGTCAGTGTGGCAGGCTGTTGGGAGCTTTAAGTCAGGAGGTTAGTGGTATTCACTTATTCATCCAAAAAAAGTGTATGTGTATGCATGAATTTGTGTGTGTATAAAATCTGGTATTCAGGGATGCCTGGGTGGCTCAGTCAGTTAAGCGTCTGCCTTTGGATCAGGTCATGATCCCAGGGTCCTGGGATCAAGTCCCCTATCAGGCTCCCTGCTCAGCAAGGAGCCTGCTTCTCCCTCTGCCTGCTGTTCCCCCTACATGTGCTCTCTCTCTGACAAATAAACAAATAAAATCTTTTTTAAAAATCTACTATGCAGTATCAGGTATTATTTTAATATCTAGGGACACAGAGTTGAATCAGATACAAATCCTGAGTTTAAGTCAAGGTCATGAACCAGGTAACTAGAGCTTCTTAAATCTGAGACCATCCAGAAGCATGTGAGTGTCTGATAGGATCAACAACGAGTGTGGAGGTGACAGACCCAGATCAGGTAGTACTGGACACTGAAGGAGAGCTACATTGATCCAGGAAGTGTCTCTGAGGATCCAGGTTCTGGCCCTTGACATCCAGGCTTGAGTCATTTAGCAAGGGTTATGGACAGGAGCAGGCTCCCTGAGAAGCGGTGAGGTAGGGTGGATGCCCCCAATTTTGTTTATACAGTGAGCCAAAGAATGAAAGGAAGCCTGGAGGGAAATGGTCAATGTGAAGAATACCGAAGAAACTAGCGGGCCAAGCATGAAAAGTCTACAGTAGAGAAGAGAGAAAAATAATGCACCAGGGAATAGTTTGGTGGGAGAGACAGTGGAGACAAACTGGAATCTGAGGGGCTCTTAAAACCCAGTCTGAACAAGTGGAGCTCACTGGGTGCCAGCAGGGATTAGCACAGAGAGGGAGCCAAGAAAGGTCTTAGTGAGAGATGCAGTCCAATCAGAGGTTGGATGAGAATCCTTTCTTGTATGAACCCAGGACGTATAGCCAAGGACTCACAGCCAGTCAGAAGAATATATTCAAAACAGGCCTCTGACCAAACGACGGGGGGACGAGCCAGTCCTTGCTTATCAGTAGGGAAACAGATGACCATGGAAGCATGACAGTCATGAGATTTTTGACAAGAATCCAAGGAAAAGATACCCAGATCAGAGCAGAAATTGGTGCCTATGACGTGCTGATGGGAGCTGTCCAGGGGAGGCCAAACTAAGAGGGCTAAAAGCCAAAGATTACAGCCAATTTTAAAAGACATTAGGACACACAGAGACTAGGGTTGGTGAGAGAGAGGTAAGTTCACCAACAGATCTTTCAAGGACACAGGCTCCTTTGGAGATTACCCAGGGACTCTGACTCTGCCCATTATGTCAAATTCCTACATAGTCGTGTGTCGGTCCCAGGTTACTGAGGGCCTTGGCAGTCAAGCTAGGAGTTTAGACATGAAGAAATGGGCATGAGGAACAACTGTAAGCTTTCAAGCAAGAGCACAACAACAACAACAACAACAATCACTCTGGCAAGTTGGACAGAGAAGGAGATAGCTTGTTAAAGAAGGCCAGTTTGGAAACTATCACAGCCACTCAGGAGCTATATGGTGAGGGTGGCAGCTGTGAGAGAAGGAGTTGCTGTCAGAGAGGAGGGAGAAGAAACCAGACTGTAGGAGATTAAGCTGGTTGCCTCTATGTGGTAGATAGATGGATAGCTACATGATAACACAAAGATAGTAAAGTGTTAGTTGAAGAAAATAAGTAGGAGGCATGGTAGTATCCACAGTACAGTGCTTTTAAATTTTTTGTATGTTTGAAAATGTACACAATAAAATGGCAGGAAAAAATGGCCAAAAACTATGCCCCTTCTATCTCTGCCCTTGTAATATGATTTTACACATTCTCCCATCAGGTAGTGGACTCTCTACCTGTGTGCCATGCAACTTGATTTGGCCAATGGGATGTTAGTAAATATGACATATGTAAAGGCCTGAAGATTTGGGCATTGAGATATACCATTTTTCTGAACTTTGCAATTACCATCATATAAATGATCTTGGACTAGCCTGTTGAATAGTGGTAGACACATGGCTTAGTTATCCTCATCGCTCTAGCTGACAACAAGCCAACCATTGGACATGTTTGTAGAACCACTGGCTGCCAGTTGATCACAGATGCATCAGTGAGCCCTGCTGAGACCATCCCAAACTGGCAACCTACAGAATTGTGACCAAAATTAACTATCATTTTAAGCCACTAAGTTTTGAGGAAATTTGCCAGCAAAAGCCAACTGATACATTCTACCTGTTATCCCTTTGACTTCATTCTGAGGGAACTCCATGCTGAGCTCTGTCTGTCTTTATGTGGCTCTTCAAAGTTTCTGGGAGAGGTCAGCTGTATCTGGGGATTGGAGGGAGGATGACATGGTATGGGGTCTGTGACATGAGAGGATGCTATGGGGTGGAGCCAGTGTGACATTAGGGCAAGAGTCAATGTGACATGGGGGAAGACTTACTTAGTTTGTTAGATGAGAGCTCTAGCTCAGAGTGGAGGGAGTTTATTTTGAAGTTGAGGGCTAGTAAATGTCACACAGGTAGATGAAGATCAGCCACACGAAGTGAGGACAGGTGAGTAAATGTAAGGGAACTGGGGACTGAAGTATTACTGGAGACAGTGGAATAAGGCAGACACAATTGGCCAGTTGAGATTTCTCTTTGGTAATAAAGTTCTTAACTCACAGGATATCCCTCTGTGGTCAGGCATTTCACCTTAGAAAAATTTCCCAGACTATAATGGGAGGGCAGACTCTCTAGAGAAATAGGGTCTGGCTGTCTTTCCTCCCTTTGATGCCATCCTCCCTTGGTTCGGAGCATTTTGCTCCTTTGATATTCCCACCCCCTTGATATTTCTCCCTTTGCAAAGCTTCTAGGAGGTCAGACTTGTTGGTAGTTCACTCCCTTCCTAGGTCTACTTACAGCCAGAGGACATGGAGATCACAGACATGAGCCACCTCTTTCTAGTCTTCAACATTCTGACAGCGACTGGTGAGTGCTGGTGCCTAATTTGGCTTAAAACTTTGAAAAGGTTGTATTGGAGTAAAGTGTAGGAAATGGGTCTAGATAAGATGGGTGGAGAGAACATTAGTTAGAAAGATAAGAATTTAGGATCCTGTAATTGGAAGTTGCCTTGCACACTCAGCTATCGAGAGCCACTGACTTTCCTCAGGCTCCATGGGTGCAAGAGAAGATTCAGACTGAGATAGTAAGACTTGGCACAGTAGATGGTGGGTGTCAGCAGGAGAATGTGATTTTGCTATGTAGTTAGGAAGGAAGCTTGAGGAAAAGAGAGGATAATCAAGCTGAAGGAAGAAACATCAGTGACACATTGACTATTTCCAAGCATGTCCACATAAAGTGTTTCAGACTTCCATCTTCTGGAATGTCTGTCCATCTCTAAAATTCTGTCTTCCTTTTCTGACAGCAGTGACAACAAAAACTGTAAAACCAACACCAGTACAAGTAAAATTAGCCCAGCAGTTCAATCAGATGGACAGCAAAACTGTACCAACCTTTTTGGTTTTCCTGAACTCAGAATATGAGCCTTGTCTGGGTACCCTGATCCACAAACAGTGGGTTCTCACTGCAGCCCACTGCTTCTTGCCGTGAGTAATGGGGGGTCTAAACGGAAGGGTAGCTCCCTTAGTCACCGAGATTGCCATGGGGGTACTGAGAATCAGCCCTGAAGAAACTTGCCCAGAGGTTCTCAAGCCTGAGAAGGGATTGGGAGGAGGCAGGAAATAGATCTAGGTGGTTATGAGTTAGAGTTCTGGGTGGGATGATATAGACAGAGGGAACTGGGGAAGTTGAGGACTAGGGGATGAATCGGTAGGGAAGAAAGGCCTATATACAATGTGGTGCAGATCAAAGAATTATAGAACTGCAATACAATTGCTCATTTGCCAGACAAGGAAATGGAGGTCTTGTGGTGGAAGGAATTCATGCAAAGTCACAAAGCAAGTTGGGGAGAAAGGATACAAGGTGAACAATAGAATAATACCTAATCCTTCATGGCCTATTCCAGATTTCTTGAGATAAACATTGCTGCTTCAAAAGAGAGTTTCCAAAACAAGATTGGAAACTTAAGACCCATGCTTACTGTTCAACACCCAGATTTTAGCCGGGATTCTGCTGAGCATGACCTCATGCTTATCAAGCTGAATCATCCCCAAAAGCTCAATGATCAGGTGAAGCTGGTGGTTCTGCCCAATAGCACAGATGACAGAAGAGGGGAAAAGTGCACGGTCTCTGGCTGGGGCTGGGAATGGAAGAATTCCAGTGAGTGACTTTCAAGACAGACCCTTAGTGCCCCTTAAGTATCCACTCAAAGAGGATCATCCTATAATTATTATTATAGATCATGAGAATTGGAAGAAGCCTGAGAACTTATAATATCTTAACCTCTAGTTGTATTCATTTGGAAACTGAGGCCCAAACTGATAACATGACTGTTTATGGCGGGAGGTGTCTGGAATCCAGTGTTCTTGGCTCATTCATCCCCCAGGTGAGGGGTGAAAAGGTGTCTGGGTGAGGATGGGGCTGGCTGGCGATCCTGCTGGTGAAGCTGCGTGTGGCTTATTCACTAGAAACTAAGAGACAGGCATTCACAAACAAAAGCATGCACACACAAGCCCAAGGTATGCATTTTGCAACACTGGGACTAGACCATGGTTTTCTCGTTTCATTATGTTTCTTCCTCAGTTCCTTTTCATTTTGGCTTTTTCTTTGATTGAATGATGGAGAGGTTAATGACAGAAAAGAGGGAGGGAAGGGGAGAAGAAAGGGAGATGAACATGCTAAGGTTCAAAGAAAAACAAAGCCTCCTCTCTCTTTCTTTCTCTCTCTCTCTCTCTCTTTCTCTGTGTGTACATGCGTATGTGCACATTCTCGTGTGCATAGACACAGAGCCCGATATTCAGATAAACCAGACTGTCTTTTGGTTCCCTAATGATGACTGCCAAGAGTCCCCTGTGAGAGAATTTCCTGTTAAAATCACAGAGAACATGTTCTGTGCGGGATCGTCTCTGGAGAGCACACACACGTGTAAGGTAACTCTTTTCCCTCTGCCCCATTTGAGTTTGGTCTGGGACACTGTTTTGGGGCCCATTTATCTCCCTCAACCAATCTAATTTCCTGTCTCTACATTCAAGAAGAGGTAAAGGTAAATGGGATCCAGGAAAGGATGTGTCCTTCCAATAATGAATGAACTTAGATGCCAGGGTGAAAACATCTCAAAGTGTATTTCTTCATGGCTAACTCTGATGTGGCCTAGAATGAGTGCTGGGACGTGCCCAACATGTCCACCAGACATTTCTCCCTGTCCTTGTCACCTACGTCTCTCTGTTCTGGACCCCTCAGATAGGAACTTTGCACTAGGTACTAGGTCATCTTTGTTTTGGCTATCCTGCCTGACCCATCTGTCCTTTTTCTAACAGGAATTAGCAGCTGCCCCAATCCTGTGCCAGAATCAGCTCCATGGGATCCTATCTTGGTCAGCAGGATGTATTCTGAGAGGTGATATTGGCTACTACACCAGGGTTTCCCACTATACAGACTGGATCCACAAAGTCATCCACAGCAACTAAGCTCTCTCTCTTCCCTCTCCCAGTGGCCTCAGAACTGGGTCTACCATCTTGACCCTTCCTTTCCCTCAAGTCTCATAAAAAGATGGGAATAGAGTCTTTGGCTATCAGAAATTGTCTGTTCCTTCTGTTCTCTTGACTTCCCTTTTCCTTTCTCAGTCCTAGCCTGAATGATCATCAAAGGATTTGAGCTGGATAACATTCTCCTAAATAAGCTAACTTCTCACCACTCCCTTCCTCTCCTCCAACTTCCTACTCACCTGCCATGGTTTCCTCAGACTTCTATGGAGCAGTTCTCCTCCAACCTCTACCCTCCAGAGGGCATATGGGCCTCAGGAATGTGATGGTGAGACTGCGGGACCCAAGGTGACTCCTTTGTTTGACATCACTTAGAGCTGAGCCAGGCCTCTGAGTCAGGCCTATACCCTTTCACTCCATCATATCTAATAAGGCTCAGTAAATGCTGCAGTGTCATTAGGCTGCTGGCAACATAATTGTTAAGAGATGGAGGCTGGAATTTTATGACAATAAGAACTATAAGGGTTGCAAAGAGGGTTAGGAGATGAAGCAGAAGTGGGTGCAGAGAGGAGTTAGATGGGTCAGACCAACAGCAGGAGAAGGGAATATCTCCTGAGAGATCTTTCCTAATGCTAAGCACAGAAAAATCTAAGATAGATGGCTGGAAAGAGAATGGTAGAAGGATAATAAGGAAATATTAAAACCTAGGTGAGTATAATTGTGTTTGTGTGTGTCTGTGAGGGTGCATATGCGCGTGTGTGTATATAGATTGGTGGAGATGTGTGCAAAGAATGATCTCACTGAACCAACCAAAATCTACCCTACACCAATTATCAATTCAGCTGATTTTCTCCAAATCCTGAATTCACCTGCTCTTATCCTACCTTTCTCAATTAAATTAAAAAAAAAAAAAAACTAAAGTAGATCCTATTTCTTTTCTTTTTTTAAAATTTTTTATTTCTTTTCAGTGTAACAGTATTCATTGTTTTTGCACCACACCCAGTGCTCCATGCAATACGTACCCTCCTTAATACCACCACCTGGTTCCCCCAACCCCCCACCGCCCACCCCTTCAAGACCCTCAGGTTGTTTTTCAGAGTCCATAGTCTCTCATGGTTCACCTCCCCTTCCAATTTCCCTCAACTCCCTTCTCCTCTCCATCTCCCCTTGTCCTCCATGTTATTTGTTATACTCTAAAGTAGATCCTATTTCTATTATAATATTTTATTTTGAAATTGCTTAAGATAAGAAATTGTAAAAAAAAAAAAAAGTTACAGAAAGTTTCTGTGGACCCAAGTCTTGCCCCATTGATAATATTTTCTATAACCATAGTAAAATGTCAAAACCAGGAAATGCACAGTGGTACAATTCTGTTCATTCAGGCACAGGTTTTATTTGGACGTCATCAGTCTTTCTTTATATATACTCTTTTTCAGGGTAAAATTTGAAATCTTATCACATGTATGGATTCCTATAACCATCACCACAAGCAGAATCCAAAACTGTTCTATCACCATACCATCAGAAAGAAACTTCTTCCTGTTACACTTTAATAATCACACCATTTCTTGGCCCTAACCCTTGCAACCACTGATCTGTTCTCCATCACTACAATTTTGTCACTTCAAGAATGTTCTATAGTATGCAATCTATATAATTCCACTGCTCTTTTTTTCATTCATTATGTTCCAAGGGTCCTTTAATTGTCATTTCCTTTCTATCTGAATAGCTTTTTTAGCCATTCTTTTAGAACAAGTCCGCTGGTGACAAATCCTCCTAGTGTTTCTTCACCTTATTTCTTGAAGGATGTTTTTTGCTGGATAAAGAATATGGCGGGTGAGGGGGGGTTGTGTCTGAGGGGCTCAGTCCATTAAGCATCTGCCTTCAGCTCAGGTCATGATCCAGGGTCCTGTGATAGAGCCTTGCGTTGCTTCTCCCTCTGCACCTCTCCCTGCTTGTGCTCATGCTCTATCATAAATCAATAAAATATTTTAAAAAAATTCTGGGTTAACAGTGCTTTTCTTTCAGGACTTGAAAAATGTTTGCCTTTTTCTTCTGTCCTTCAAGTTTCTGAGGAGGGATCTGCTATCATTTGACTCATTGTTCCCCAATAGGTAATGCATGGTTTCTCTCTGGCTCTGGAAGCTTTTGAAAGTATTTCTTCATCTTCCTTCATCTTTCCTTTTCATAGATTTAATTGTGACATGTCTGGGTGTGAGCTTTTAAAAGTTTGTTCTGGTTGGGCGTACATTTAGTTTCTGGAACATGTAGGTTTATGTCTCTCACCAAATATGAGATGTTTGAACCATTATCCTTTCAAGTATTTTTCAGTTTAGTGTTCTTTTTCTTCTGAAACTTTGCTAACATGGATGTTAAATCTTCTGTTATCATCTCACAGGTCTCAGGGGAACCATTCATTTTTTTAGATATCATTTTCTCATCTGCTATTCATATTGATAATTTCTATTGCTCTGTCTTCAAGTTTACTGACTCTTCTGGCCTCCTGATTTTGTTATTGAACTCATTAATTTAATTGTGTTTTTATTTTCTACATTTATGATGCTTTCATATCTTGGGAGCCTTGCTGGCTAGGGAAATAGTGTCCCTTCTAGAGCTAACTAATTCCTGGAGGTAGTAAGTGATTCTGTCTACCACATGTTTTTTTATATGCAAACCTACCAATCCAGAGCTGTACCCCAACCACCTTCTTTAGTCTAACTTTCACACACCAAGCCAATATTTCCCCTGCCCTAAATCACACAGGGCCAGGTACTGAACAACTGGGGATCACCACCATAGCTCAGAGCCTGCCAAAATTATTCAAACTATTCAATCCTAGACTTGTTCAAACTTGACTACCCCGACTCACCCATTCCTTCTATTGGTTTCCAAATAAAAGCTTGTACCTGTGCTTTCCTCCACTCCTCCAGCCTGACTGACCCTAGTACTTCCTCATGCAGCCTTGCATGGCAGCATGCTCTTAATAAACTCTTCTTTCCATGGCACTGACGTGTCAGTGTTATCGTTTAGTCACTTTTAGAAATCAAATCCTAGGTTCAGTTAAAACACCCATCTAATGAATTTTTTATTTCAGTTATTATATTTTTAAATTATAAAATTTCCATTTGGTTTATCTTTATATCTGCTATAAATTTTTGCTCAGATTTTTCTGTTTCTTTTTCATTTGATTCAAGAGTATTTGTAACTGCTTATTAGAATATTTTTGTAATAGCTGCTTTAAAATCCTTGTCTGATAATCCCAACATCATCATCATCTTGAGTTGACATCTGTTGATTATGTTTTCTTGTTGGAGCTGACATTTGCCTAGTACAGTGAGCAATTTCATACTATATCCTGGACAGTTGGATATCCTAAGAGTCTGATTCCTATTTAGGTATCTTAGTTGAGGGGAGCCTGAATCTTGGCTTAGGCATCCAAATCTTGATTTCAGTTTAGGTCCTGATTTCAGAGTCATGGGATCAAGCCCCATGTTGGCCTCTGCACTGAACACAAAGCCTACTTAGGATTCTCTCTCTCTCCCTCACCCTCTGCCCCTTTCCTACCCCCATTCATTCTCTCTCTCAAAAAAAAAAAAAAAGGTATCCTAATTGAGCATGTACTTAACCTATTAATGTTCAGAATGTACAGTCTAGCCCACTTTTGTGGGCTATGATTCAAATGTCAATTTGGTTTATAAAGCCTCTAGAGTGTTATTTTGTGGTGACAGAACAATGACACCCCCCCACACACACAAGCTGTCTATATCCTAATGCTTAGAACTTGTGAATATGCCACCTTATGTGGTAAAAGAGACTTTGCAAAAGTGACTAAGTTAAGGATCTTGATATGGGAAGATTAGCCTGGATTTCAAGGGGGGCCCAATCTAATCACAAGTGTCTTTATAAAAAGAAGGCAAGAGGATTCAAAGAAGACAGGAGATGTGATCACAGAAGTAGAAGTTGGAGTGATGTGCTCTAAAGATAAGAGGAAGAGGCCATGAGCCAAGGCACACAGGCAACCACTAAAAGCTGGAAAGACAAGGAAATGGATTCTCCCCAAAACCTCCAGAAAGGTTTCCAGAAAGAAGGCAGGTCTATGGACACCTTGATTTTAGCCCATAAGATCCATTTTGGCTTTCTGATCTCTAAAACTGTAAGATAATAAATTTGTGTTGTTTTAAGCCACTAATTTTTGGTAATTTTTTTAACAACAATAAGGAACTAATACATGATAGAAGTTAGTTAGAGTTCTGCCAACTAGCCCCACTACTGGAGCACCACAGGTATGAGGGAGGACGTGGCTTCTTCACAGGTTTTTGTCTCAAGATCAAAGAAATTACCAATAACTTATTGGTTTAAAGCAACAAAAATTTATTATCTCATGGTTTCCTTAGTTAAGAATTCCATAGCTCAATGTTTCAAGAGGCTAAAATCAAGATGTGGGCCAGCCACAACCACACTTGGAGATTCAACTAGAGAAAGATCCACTTCCACTTCTTTCACGTTGCTGGCAGAATTCATTTCCTTGCAGTTGTAAGGATAAGATCCCCAAGTCTTGCTACCTATCAGCAGGGGACCACACTCAGGTCTTAGAGACCATTCTCAGATATTTGCCACATGGACTCCTCCATCTTAGCAACATGTCAAATGCTTCTCATGTCAAATGCTTCTCATGCCTTGAATTTCTCTAACTTCCCCTTCTACTACCAGGCAAAGAAAACCCTTAACTTTTGAAGGGCTTATGTAATTAGGCCAGGACCACCTGGATAATCTCCTTATCTTAATATCTACCATACTGTATAACATAGCCTAACCACAGAGGTCATGTCTATCAAATTCACAGTTTCAGGTCAGGGCAAATACTCAAAGGTAGAAAACATAAGGGGTACATCTTAGAATTCTGCCTACCACATATAGTTAAGAAGTTTCTGTTCTATTTGGGCTTCTCCTTTCCTAGTCCTTTGGCTAGAGAAAGAAGATTTTCTTATTTTTGTTGTTGCTACTGTTTTTGTTTATTTGTTGTTGTTGTTGTTGTTTGCTTTTTTGTCTCTGCCCACTGTTGTTTCCAGGTTACAAATATTTTTAGCATAC